GCGGCAATGCTACCGGCTGGAGGGCGCTGGTGCGGCGCGTGCGGCGCGGCGTGCTGGCACTGGGGCTCCCAGGCCACCGTCCCCATCCTCGGCGTCATCGTGCACGCCTGGGAAAGGCCTTTGGTTGAGGCCCAGGCCGTCGTGGGGGGCGCCAGCTGCCCGGCTGGGCGCGTGCTCCTACGTGCGCTGGGGCGGCAGCTGGACGTGCAGGTGGAGGAGTCGGTGATGCGGGCGGGGGCCGAGGCCTTCGTCCCGCGCCGGGGCGGCAGTGGCGACGGCAGCGCTGCGGCATGCCGCCCGGCGGCGGCTACGGAGTCGGGGGGCTGGCAGGTGCCGAGGCGCGTGGCTCGTGCGCGGCCCCCGCAGCCTCGCCTGGGGTGCAAGAGGCGCCCTGGCCCTTTCTCGGCCCTGGTGGAGTGCGGGGACGACGACGGCGACGACCCCGAGGATAAGGAGCTGGAGGATGTCGACGAGGGCCTCGCCGGTGAGGTGGTCGACGACCCCGAGGAGCAGGGCCCCGGGGAGCAGCAGGCGCGGGAGCAGGGCTTCGAGGAGTTCAGCTACGGCGGCAACGCGGCCTGCCTGGGGCGCAGCCTCGAGGAGCGGCAGCAGGACTTCGAGGCGTCCTGCAACACGGAGGTTGACCCTTCCGAGGATCTCGACAAGGGCTTCGACGGCGAGGTGGTCGGGAACTTCGAGGAGGACCCCGAGGAGCAGGGTCTCGGGGATATGGAGCGGGAACAGGGCTTCGAGGAGTTCTGCAAAGGTGTGAAGGAGGCCTGCCAGGGGCTCAGCCTTGAGGAGCAGCAGAAGGGCTTCGAGGAGTTCTGCCGCAGCATGGAGCTGGAGTTCTACGAGGGCGGCATCGAGGCGCAGGACTTCGCGGAGTTCTGCAACTGCGTGCGGAAGCGCTTCGAGGAGCATTACTGCTTTCAGGGGGTCAAGGGGAAGATCGAGGCCGAAACCGAGCTGCAGCGGCTGCTGGATAAGCTGGGGGGCATCATCTGGGAGAAGGAGCACCCCGTTGAGGAAGAGGACCAGCGCTTCGAGGAGCAGCAGGTCGACGATGAGGTTGAGGACGTCGCGGAGGGCCTCGAGGAGCCGAGCTTCGAGGAGCTGCGGGCCCTGGAGGGCCAGGTTCGCGGCGGCGTAGATCGTGAGCAGGACTTCGAGAGGTTCTGCCACGGGCTGCGGGCGGCCTTCAAGGAGGCCGCTATCGGGGAGCAGGACTTCGCGGAATTCTGCTTCGTCGCGCGGGCTGCCTTCGACGAGAAGGGCTTCGGAGCGCTGGCCGAGGCCGAGCTCCTGCAGCTGCTCGCGGAGCTCGGTACTAGGCCCCTGCCTGCCGCCGCCCCTGAGGCCAGCTCGGCCGCGGGTAGCGGCCCGAGCGATCCTGATTCTGAGGCAGGCCCTGCAGGCTAGGTGCTTAGGGGCCTCCCCTGTAGGCGCGAGGCGCTTGGCGAGGCCGTGCAGTGGCTCGGACGAGGGTTCGGGGCCCCTGCAGGCTCGGTGACGCCCCAACTAAGAGGGTTTGGGGCCCTTTTGGCCTCTCTGGGGCCCCGCTCGAGGGTGGCCGTGAGCTGGACTGGGCGGTCCTTCAGGTAGGGGGCTGGGTCGGGTCGGCCAACCCCCTGCCTGCCGTGCAGCGAGGCGGTACTACTACTACTACTACTACTACTACTACTACTGCTACTACTACTACTACTACTACGACTACTACTACTGCTACTACTACTACTACTACTACTACTTCTACTAATACTACTACCACTACTACTACTTCGACTACTACTACTACTACTACTACTACTACTACTACTGTTACTACTATTGCTACTTATTTCGTTACTACTACGATTCTCACTACTACTACAACTACTGATACTACGACCACTACTAGTACTACTACTACTACTACTACTACTACTACTAGTACATCTACTACTACTACTACTACTACTACTACTACTACTACTAGTACGACTACTACGGCTACTACGACTACGATTACGACTACGATTGCGACTACTACTGCTACCACCACCACCACTACTACTACTACTACTACTACTACTACTACTACTACTACTACTACTACTACTACTACTACTACTACGACGACGACTACTACTACTACTACCACTACTACTATTACTTTTACTACTTTTACTACTACTACTACTACTACTACTACTACTGCTACTACTGCTACTACTACTAGGAGGATCCATCTTGCATGTTTTTACAATCGATGCAATTCGAACCGTTTTTACTTACGTTTCGGCGGCCTTTTGCTCATCTTAACGCAGTGCTCGTGCGCAGACCAAAAACTCAGACCAATTCCAACTCGAGCACGCATGTTGGCTTCCAGATCCTCTTCGTTGGCCTGAGGGGTGCCACTTGGTCTTCGCAGTCGTCTTGGGCTTCTGTACAATTAAAATCTTAGTGTGGGGCTATCCCAAGATGGTTTGGATTGGGCCCAGTTTGCTTTTCGCACTGG